AGTCTTTTGGAGTCAACATTGGGATTTTTATCGGCCAAGTGGGCCAATTTCTTTCTGGCATATAATTTTATTGATTTTTGTTTCTCTTTATAACAAAAATATTTTGGTGGTAAAACCAAAAAAAAAAAACAATGATTTTGGTGGTATCTAATTATGGGTGAAAAACTGATAACTACTTATCATGGACCACTTAAGAAATAGAATAAACGACATATATATTGTTTTTGTAAAGAATGATGTAGTATTTAATTCAATAATGTCAAAACTATTGTATATTTAATTTTGTAAAGAATTTCACAAAAATTATTATATTACCCTACTTGTATTGTATTAGAATTTTAGTTATATCTTGGCGACAAATGAATAAATTTGCACCATGGAAAACGTGGTTAGGGTCGTTAGTGGTGTGTCGTATTGCGTTTTGAAAATTTTATGATGCTCAAGTCGAAATGAATCTTAAGCCTTTTAGTAAAGAAGGATATTGAATTTTTTATTTAATTGGAATGATTATATAGTAACCGGCTTGGCATGACATTATTTCCTTTTTAGAATTCGTATGAGACACATTGCTTGTAACTTGTAAGTTCCTTATAGAGTTATAGTTGATAAACTTAGAATACATTACCAAAACAAATGATTGGAGTCGTATGGTACTAATTGCATCCCTACACATGTTTTAGATTTTCCACATTCCTTAGATAAAAGATCTTTAGAAAAAAAAGATCATTGGACCAAGTTGGTTTGGGAGGCAAAACACATACGTGGTGATAGCTCATTTGATTTCAAGGATTCTCTTGGTAAGGAGGTTGAATCCGTGTTATCAAGTTTGAGTTTCAATTTGGGAGGAATGGTTCACACATTAATAAGTATTACCAAGCTAAACTGAAAACCGAACGAATATGTAAAATACCGAAACATAGATTAGCCTATATATATTTTGGCTAATAGCCTAAACTCTTTTATACGAAAAATCTGAAATCAATATCCAAATGTCCAAACGACTATTAGCCAAAGATCCCGAACTTCCTATGTTAAAAAAAAAAAAAACTTTGGATGAGGTTGGTTTGTGAGGGCATTCATCGAGATATTCCTCATGTGTTCCAAATCCACGTGTTGTACATAATGAATGAAACTTATGAAGAATCTCTCGTGCGTTCCATACCGAGAAATTGTTATACATGATGAATGAAAGTATGAAACTTGGTCAATACGAGATTAGATATAAAAAATTCATAGTCAATTATTTGATTAAGTTGTTGTATATGTTAGGTATTAGAAAGAAATAAATTTGCTCCCATGAACCATAGTTTGGTTTTCCGGTTCTTGTAATAGCGAAGATATTCGATTCATTGTAACTTGTAATCACGTTCTATTATAGTAGAACCATACCCCACCCATAAGGGAGGGTCCTTGTGACAGACTTTTGTATTGACGCAGTAAAAAGAGATGAGAAACACATTACCCACCAATAATACTCTTGGCT